CACGTCATGGTCATGTAGCATCCGTTCAATGTCCTCATCTGTGAGCACTTTGCCTCCGGAGATAATTGTATCGCGGGGCAGGTGGCACTGTATACCCTTACTGCGAAGGGCCTTCATTTTGGGCACCAGAGCCCTTCTCCGTGCTTGTTCGGGCCGTGTCAGATCGTGCTGAATGTAAACATTAGCCCCTTTGAAGGTAGCGTCGCGACGGTGCCTCATCAGGGTTGCCTTCCCGCTCTCAGTTAGGGCAACGTGGACTAACCGCGGCTTTATTTGGTGGGCAGTGGTGCTTGCATTATTTGAACCGCGCGTGCCGATACGGGATGCGGACTTCACGTCAGCGGCTGCTAAATTGGGCACCAGTGTCGGAACTAGAGTAGCGAGGTCTTCGGACGGGAGCTCTTCCAGGCCACGCAGTATGACATTGTTGGAGCGCAATCTGGACTCGGTGGCCTCCTCAATCATGTCACGCACCTTGATGTGGAGGTCATTTAAGGCAGGAGCTGCCGTACGTGGCGGGTTGGCGGTGGCGCCAGCCTGGCTGCTGCTGATGTTTGCAACCTTCTTTTCCATGTTGCTAATGGCGGATTTTGCAACATTCTCTACATTGTTTACGGATTCAGCACACTTGTCGACAAGCACCCTTAGCTTACGGTTCTCAGCAGACAGTCTGCTGAGCTCCTCTCGTTGCTGATCGTGCCGCAACTCCACTGCGCACACACGATCCTTCAGCGGTTGTACGATGTCTTCAGCAACGCGGCGAAGATCATCACGCAGCTCTCGCTTGAACTCTGTTAGCATTCTAGAGAACTCAGACAGCCCGCTGCCAGCTGGGGTACTGTCTCTGGTTGTTAGCAGCACGCACGGGGTCTTGTCGGCTCCAGGTGGGCGGGGCGCTGCCAGAACTGGATCGGCATCCGTGGCACGCAAACTTTCTGCTGGGCTTTCCGCTTGTCTCTTCGTAGGTCTACGTTCCTTGGGCGTGGCGTCACTGTCTGAAGACCTAGAACCACTACCAAAGGGTGACTCATTCCCCCCACGGCCAGCGTGGCTTTGGGAAGTCATCTTGCGGACAAGATTCTTAACAGCTTTCGACATGATTATAACGAAAACGAGAGACTCTGAATAACGCCCTATCTTTGAAGACCCATGGAAGAAATTATTATGTTCAGAATGATGAGAATATAATATAAAATAATTCTAGGGAATTGTCTCAGGGTATTTTTGGAAGGATGGAGAGAGAGAGGGGGGGGGGGGGAGAGCACTGTTTGAAGTGTTTGTCTCACTGTAATTACTCCAGGTTATTGAATGGTGTATGATCTACGCTATATTTTCCACAATGGTTTTTCCTGATTTGCGGGATCTCTTCTTTTGCTGTTTGCGTGTTTACAGGAAGTGACTGTCTGGTGTAACTGCACCAGATCCTGGGGAAATTAAGTCAGATGCAGGGCAGGGTCGTTCAGTGATGCAACACTGCCATTCTGCGTGCAACGTCACCGCTAATCCCCCCCCCCCCCCGCCGAAAACACAAAAAGACAAACACGTGAAAAGACTACAGTATTGGCCGCTCTGCTAATAAATGCATGACTGCTCGGACAGTCGATAATCGAAACACAGAGCACCAGCATGATGTTTTCATATTGGGAACCACACAACAGCTCAATTCTCAAGCCCAAAAATTGATGAATACAAAACACAGAGTGACGCTACAAGAGATCATCCGGCAACCAAACCAACCTGGGTCTAATGCACTGACATACGCAGGCCAGACAAAGCAGTGCAAGCACATAATGTTACAAGGTACATGCGTTGCAGAACAAAGTGTAACCAAAGATACACAGTGTTATAGCTGCACACTTGGGCATGTGCTCGCTCAGGCCAAGAACACACAATCATGATGATAGAAACAGTCCGGGGGAAACACGCTAACACCAAAGTAAGCATCAACACGTAAATAGTGCAGCTCTGAAAAGTAAAAAAATTGCATTGTGAGCTGCAGTTTGCCATTTTTGGGCTCCGCTTGTATTCAGTAAATCTTGCAGTTTTGCCCCTCAGGGGCTGGCTTAGCACGATGGACACAAATGTATGTGGTGATATCACAGTGGATGATCAGTTTGGTGTTCCAGACCTCGTGCGCAGAGATTCTTTCCATCAGTCTTGCTCAGCATGTGCAAGTCATTTTTTCAAAATCCTTGAAGAAATGGAAAGGGAGCGTAGTCTTGCCGCCGATCGAGAAAAAAGATTTAAAAAATAGTAAAATCGACGACCTTGCCCGTTTAGTTTCCTCCCTGACGGAGATCGTTGATAAATCTGGATCAACAACGCATTCAATGGTGGCAGCAAAGGCAGTCGGCCATGACGAGACCAACAAGAGTAAGGGGGTGATTATAATATGTGCAGCTCCAGCCCGGGCTGGTCGATAGGCGGGCCAGCCCGCCTGCAACGGGATCTCGGGGTTGTACACAAATGCACACAAAACCTGTGGTGCGTTTACATGGCAAGCGGGCTGGCCCGGCGAGGCGGGATCCCGCCCCGAGCCACCCGGGATCTCGGCTAGGCGGGCCAGAAAAAGCACATATAAACAGACCAGCCTGGGCCAGAGTTGTATTATTATGGTGTGTACACTGCGTTAATGCTACAAAATAGGTGCTTTTACCTTTTGAGGGAAGTTATAATGAGGATTCCCGATATTGTCTTGAAAATCTATGAAGCTTTTTGTACAGCAACAAGAAGTTTTCGCCCTCAAAAACTTCTGTTTTAAGCTTCCGTTATAAGCCAGCGGCAGCATCATCACCGGCACCAACATCTGCCACCTACACTATGGAGGTTCTACCTCTTCCCAGTATTGACATCCTCAAACATCTGGGAGTTCGCTTCAGTGCAGACCTAAACTTCCGTCAACACTACCTTGACATCAGTCGCAAATTCAAGCAGAGAGTAAGCCTACTTTGTCACATGGCACATCGTCTTACACCGCAGGCCATGATGCTCCTCTACAAGTGCTATGTTAGACCTGTGATTGAGTATAGCGTCGTAGTGTGGTCCTTTCGTCTTCGTTCAAGCGACTTGACTGAGCTGGATAGAGTCCAGGCCAGGTTTGCAAGATCCTACCTTAGGAAACGCAAAATCCAAATCGACTTTAATACACCCAAGCAGGATCTTAATAAAAAAGCTAACATTGAATCCCTTCTTTACCGCAGGCAGTTTTTAAGCTTGGTTACCATGCACAAATTTATTTTCAAGTATCGACGTTGCCTAGCTTCATTCCATTTCAATATCACGCAGAGTGCGAGACGCCCTAACAAAATTATTCTCCCTAAAGCAAAGACCACATCAAAATCGTTGTTTCTCTTCCAAACCTCCCTCTTATGGAACTGCCTCCCACCAAGACTAACTGCAGAACCATCCATTATTGTTTTCAAGAATGAGCTTCGCAAACTCACTTGCAAACATAGTGCTTCGCTCTCCGGTATGCCTACGCCATGTACATAACCCCCCCCCCCCCCCCCCCGTGTGCTCCCCAACGCATTCACGCTGCACAACTTTTCACTACTTTCACTTTAGCTCATACGTGTACATGTACATCCTTCAAAGCGGTGAACCCCTTGATAGGCGACAAGCCTCTGGGTCATCCTAATAAAGATATTATTATTATTATTATTATTAAGGACGTGCAGTGAGCACTGTTTATTTGTCGACATGCATGATTTACATTAAAAAAGAAGGGGAACTACTTGGAAAATACTTTGATATGGGCGGCTAAAAATGTGAAAAACAGGAAAAAGAAATGAGGTGATACAACACACCAAACATGTGCCACAGCGCGAAAGGAAATTAGCAGAGGAATACATTGTGTGAGAAAAAAAGGTTTTAGGGTTTTAACCTGAGTATGGCTTGCAGCCCTGCGTTTCAGCCCAGGGCAGCTGCATACTCACAACGGGCAGCCGTGTGCTCAGCGCATATAAACTCACTGCGGGCTGGCGTGTGCTCAGCGCAAATAAACTCACTGCGGGCTGGCGATCAGCCCGGCCTTGCACATGTTAGGCCCTCATCAGACTACGTACATAGAAAATCCAGTACAAAATCACATAAAACCTAAAAGGCAACATTTTTCCATGCCTGCTTTCAGACTACACATTTTACATGCAATATACAGGCAACCTTTGACCCTACGAAATTGCGCAAGGGGCCTAGGATGTGTGAAAGCAGCGGACAGTCGTACCCGGGCACAAAGTTCGTACAACTGCCTGGTGAAAGTACGATAAATGCAGGAAAGTTGCCTTGTACAAGGGTTGGCACCTTGCCTGAAAGGATTGGGCAGCTTTTTAGGCTTCCCCTCCCGATTCTTGTTGTTGTCCTGGAAACTTCTATGTAAATGTGACTTATAGGCTGTTTTGTACCTAGTCTGAAGAGGGCCTAAACACCCTTAGCGGGCTGGCCCGCTCGCTCCAGACCGGGCTGGAGTTGCACATAATATTATAATAGGCCCCTTTGGCCCTAAGGCCCTCTTCAGACTAGGTACAAAACAGCCTATAAGTCACATTTACATAGAAGTTTCCAAGACAACAACACGAATCTGGCGGGAAGCCTAAAAAGCTGCCCGATCCTTTCAGGCAGGGTGCGAACCCTTGTAGAAGGCAACTTTCCTGCATTTATCGTACTTTCTCACCAGGTAGTTGTACAAACGTACAGACTTTGAACCCGGGTACGACTGCCGGCTGCTTTCACACATCCCAGGTCCATTGCGCAATAGCGTAGGGTCAAAGGTTGCCTGTATATTACATGTAAAATGTGTAGTCTGAATGCAGGCTTGGAAAAATACATGATTTATTTTTTGAAAAACGTAAAAATGTTTGGCACCTATGAAATCAGGGGATGGCCCACGCCTGGTAAAAAAAAAGAAAGAACAACAATGAGGAGCTACAGTGAGAAAAAGACAGTGATAAAGGACCATCAGTGAAAAGGTATAATAAGTTAGAAAAACAGAACGAGAACATGACTCAGTGGCCGATTCCAACGCCGGCACCGTCATGTACGGAGAGTCCCATAAGACGGCGACGGAAGCCTCGCAGACGCATGTCCACGGCGCTGAAAATGGCGAACTGAGTGCGCACGCGTACCCAAGCCATCATGGCAGAGAAGGGCTTCTCCCATTTCGCTGCTAAGCAGCTGGCGAGACGCTTCTGGTACGCACTGTACTCGCGGTGGAGGACAGCATCAGTGGAACACACCAGAGGAGTGAAAGAGCCTCGTAGCTCTTCAGCGGCATGTTTGTACTTCCTCTTCTTCGCTGCAGCTGCTTTGTTGGCGGTGGCATTCCAGGACAGGTTGGCCTTGGCATAACTGGGTGCGTCAGCATCTACGATGCGGTTATCGAAAAACGCCGACCGGTTGCCTTCCCATACTCCGCGAGCGAGCCAGTCCGCTTGGAGCATAGGCCGACCATTCCTGTCCTGTTCCGGGATGAGGATCGGCTCGATGGTGACGCCGCCGAAGGCAATGTCGGCAAGCTTGGCATCACTGTCACGGAGGTCGTTGTGGCCTCTCTTGACAAGGCCGCCCTTATGGCAGTCAAGGCCGTGCTGCAAGGTGAATGGGGCGCCACATCCGTCACATTGAGATGGAAGAGAGTTGGGCTGCCTGCCGTAGCGGATTGCCAGCTGATCCCGAAACTGGGTTGCGGACATGTCGTAGCCTTCCTGACGGAGCGGTAGGACGGTCAGCCAGCCGGAAGCATGTCCGTCGACGATGCGGGAGAGAGTGCGCCGTTCCGTTTTGGGGAGGTCTTGAAGAAGATCCTTGCTGAGTGCCCCTGCTTGCTCGTCCCTTATCCGGCTTGCCTGGCTCGTCGCTAGTTGGCAATGACGAGAATGGTCATTGATGACCACTGGCTGACCGGAGCAGATGGAGCGCGTCAGAGTCCGAGTAGCATCTTTCGACACTGCATGGGCACCCGGTGCTGTTTCGGTAGGATCGGTGATGGCGAGGCCACCGAACTTGGCAGGGAGGGCGAGTAGCTGATGTTCTCGCTCAAGGACCTCTCTACCAAGGACAGCAGGCGTGAACTGTTGCCGAATGATGTCACGTAGCGGGGCGTACTCGGCTTCATGGCCTTCGACAACGCGGTGAATGTATGACCATTCGCAGGAGAGGGACGGTGTAAACGCGCAATAAGCTGCTTGTGGGTATGCTTTGGCAGCATCAGAGAGGTGTTCCACGCTCTTAACCCACGATGCAACTTTGTTGCTGACAAACTGCTGTACACCCGCTTCATCACCGATGCATCCTCCTAGGAATCGGCTGGATAGTGTGACTTCCACCTGGAAGTCGCTGAAAAGGTCTTGTGCCTCCTGCAGGAACTGAGGTTTGACAATCAGGACACTCTTGGTGGGCTCAGCAAAGTAGCCATATGCTGGACTAATTTCGAGAAGGGAGCAAAGCCAGGCCCTTACCCTACGCAGATAGCCAGCGCAGGACGAATCGTCAGCATACCAATTCTGAATGTGCTGTTCTGGATCTTTCAGCCGGGTGACAAGAGGTTGCACTCCAACTGCATACATCAGCATTGCCAATGGACAGCCTTGGGTGGTTCCCTCACGACTTAGAATGACATGGATATTGCTGGGGGTTGTTCCTTTGAGAATGATGACAGCGAAGCCTCGATACGAGTTGAATAGAAACCGGCTTGCGCGTGGCCAGAGTATGCGGCAGTTCCAGAGGGCAGCGGATCTGCTGATGGAGTTGAATGCATTAGAGGCATCCACGAGCAAGATGCCCTCCGTTTCCTCGCTGTTGAAGAGCTCGTTCATAGCGTGTACCGCGGCCTCGATGCCTGCCTTCGTACCAGCGCAGAGTTGATCGGCTCCACATACATCTTGCACGTCAGTGCCTGTAGCGAGTGCCAATGCCTTGGCCTCAATGCGCTGGCGACATTCTCCTATGCCAATCGGGCGAACTCCGGGCTGTTTGTCAAGTGCGACTCCTCTCCGGGCAAGGAACGCTCTCATGGCATTCCAGGGTACGACTTCATTGGCATGAAGACGTGTTGAGGCTGCAATGGCTTCCCTCATGCGGGCACTGGCATTCCCATACCGCAAAAGAAAGGCCCTCCACTGCTCAGAATCCGTTCCACTGGGACCAGCACTACCAAATAGACGCCTTGCAACCTGTTCCACATGGGCACTGGTGATGTTGACCTGCTCCAGCGGTGGCAGCTCATTGCATTCTAGGAACGCACTTGGGTCAGGGGTTCTTGGAGCTGGGTGTTTTTCCTGCAAAACATCATACACTGTCTTGCCTAGCGGGCCTGTCTTGCCATGTGCTTCGTCGGCCGGGTCCAGTACACCTCCACTACTCCGGTCGGTCACTAGTCGCACAGCCGAGCGTACCCGTCCCTCCAGCATTAGTCGGTTGAATGTCCTTTGAACTTGTTCATTGGACATTGGGCTCATGCTGGATTGCAGCTGGTTGTCGCACCGCTGGGCCTCACGAAGCAGTTCGGCAAGGAGACCTGCCTCCCACATATCCATTCTCCTTGTCAGTAGGGGTCGGATATCCTTGCTCTTCTTTACCATCTTATCTCGCTGCAGAACTAGGCTTGGAAAAATGTTGCCTTTTAGGTTTTATGTGATTTTGTACTGGATGTTCTATGTACGTAGTCTGATGATGGCCTAAGGGAAAGCCACGTCAGAAGAAGCGGCCAGCAGACAGCAAAGCTAGTACCCGTAGATCTACGGACTTGAGTTCACAACTTTTTGAACTCGCGCAGACAGCAGCCAGCAAAGCGAGTACCCGTACGGACTTGAGTTCACACCTAGTACCTTCTTGAACTGGCGCAAGCAAACACACCCGATATGGCCGTTGGTGCAAGTGAGCAACCCAGCTCAACAGCAACAAGACTCTGGATCGGAGGACGACAGCGCATCCCGTAGTGCATCCCGTAGATCTCGTGGAGGTCTTGGATCGACACGTGGAACTTCAAATCCCAGGACGAAGATTCAAAACGCGGACGTCCAAGAACGCAAGCTGTTACCTTGTTTCGAGGATGAGCCTGACAATCTGGCATGGCAGCTCATCTCGAACACAAAGCCTACAGGCAAGAAAGCGGTCCTTTTTGCTGGCAATCTCCGGCATGACATGGAAAGTGACCACCTTAGCCAGTTTAAAGCACAGCGAGCTTCAGCTACGAATATTCCAGCCACCATCCATGAATGCAAGACCTTTCGCAAAGAGGATAGTATCTCAGCTCGAATTGTTGTTAATCATGCCAGCTCCAAGACACTGCTCCAGTGGAAATTTTGGCCATCGCCTGTTTATTGCAGACTTTGGAGCTTTGACAAATATCTGAACTCTGCGGCAGACCATGCTGCTGGTCAACAATCTGCATCTCAGTCACAACCATAATGACCGTTCTGACCACTGCATTCCTCAATGTGTGCAGCCTGCGGAGGAAGGTTTCTGAGGTCCAGGAGTTTGTGTCCTCCAGAGGTATACATCCTCTTGGAATCGCGGAAACTTGGTTGAAGCCCGATATCAGTGATGGTGAAGTAGCTATACCACATTTCAAATTGTTTCGCAAGGACAGACCAGATAGACCTGGTGGTGGAGTAGCTGTATACTGCCATGAGTCCCTGGCTGTTCGTCGCCGCTTCGATCTGGAAAGTGAGCTGGAACTACTATGGCTTGAGGTTGTAGTTCCCGGCCACGACTCCCATGTTATTGGTTGCTGCTACCGGCCACCTAACAGCCCAGCTGCCTTCTGGGCATCACTAGAACACAACATCGAGCGAGCTGTGGAAGGCCAGGAAAAGTCTACCACGATTGTCGGCGACTTCAATGTGGACTTTGCCCAGGATCAGCCATCTGCAGTACCTCTGCGCTCTATTATCAGCCGCTTCAACCTTTCCAACTATGTAACATCTCCCACCCGAGTGACCTCCCATTCAGCTACGCTGCTGGATTTACTCCTTTCATCAGCTCCACCGGTTGGCAGCTGTGAAACAGTATACTTAGACATGAGTGACCATTTTGCGATTCTTGCCCACTTGTATAGTCAAGTGCCGAAGCACAGCTCATCAGCACCAACGACCACGCGGCGGTTGCACCTCGTTGACTGGGACCGCTTCAGCGACGCCGTCCAGCGCAATCAGCAGGCATTTCCTGACAATGGCAACTTGGAGGACATGATTACATCTTTCACTGAGTCTCTTCTATCACCATTAGACCACCATGCGCCTCTAGTTGCTCAGCGTGCTCATCGACGTCTCCCATGCCCATGGCTGACGAATGAACTAGTTGTGGCTGTACGGAAGCGCAATGGCTTACACCAGAAGTTGATGCGGGACCAGGGTAATGCAAGATTACGCGAGGAATATAAATCAGCTCGTTCTGTGGCTAGGAAGCTTGACAGGAAACTGCGCAACCAGTATTTTACCACCCAATGCCAAACTACCAACCAGAGGAAACTCTGGAGGGTACTAAATACTGTCACGGACAGAAGGAAGAAATCGCAAATCCCTCAAACGCCTTTGCCAGAGCTAAGTCGAGTGTTTGGCGGAGTAGTGAATGATCCAACATGTCCACCCCACCTCCAGCTGCCGTTGGGCCCAAGCCTCCAATCCAGCTTAAATGTATTCCAGCCTGTCACAGTGACAGATGTCGAGTCATGCCTGAAATCAGTGGATGCAAGGTTTCCTGCTCAAGCAACATGCCTCTGGTCTTGCACCGAATCTCACCAGCATTATCAATTTGTCTCTTAGAACTGGACAGGTTCCACCAACCTTCAAAGTGTCACATGTCAGTCCCTTATTTAAGAGTGGCGACCCAACCCTGCCCCAGAACTATCGTCCAGTGTCTCTCCTCCCCATTATCTCCCGTATTCTGGAGACAATGGTTAAGAGACAGCTCACTGCCTATCTGGAGACACACCAGCTATTGCCCGACAGCCAGTTTGCTTATCGCAAGCAACATTCGACTGAGGATGCACTTGTGTTAGCTGTTAATCGATGGTCCACTGCTAGATGCAAACGAGAGTTCACTGGGACAGTGTTCGTTGATATGTCGAAAGCTTTCGACCGTGTTAAGCATGAACGTCTAGTTACAGTTTTGTTTTCCCTTGGTATAGCTGGAACTGCATTAGAATGGTTCACTGACTATCTCTCACGGCGTTTCCAGAGTGTCAAAGTTCTTGACTCTGTTAGTGAAGCCGTCAGTTGCTCCCGTGGTGTTCCACAAGGTAGCGTCCTTGGGCCACTGCTTTTTGTGCTCTACACTAGTGAACTCCACACCATACTGCCACCGTCTGTACAGCACCAAGAATTTGCAGATGACATTGAGTCATCGACTGCTCCCATTCTGATCCTGCTGTAGTGTGCAGAACCCTCACGCAAGCCATGACAAACCTTGCTACCTGGCTGGAGGACATTGGCCTGCTCCTCAATACTTCCAAGACACAATTGCTCTTCATCCGGCCACGAGGCGCGGCTGCAATACAACCGGAGGTCTTCTGCAATGGCGAGAAATTTTGTGTGACCACTACAGCCCAGTACCTCGGTTTAGCCCTGGATAATGATTTATCCTGGGCTCCACATGTGGAGTATATTGGTCGCAAGACAGCGCAAACAATTGGTCAGCTCTGGAGGCATGGGCGAGGACTGAGTTTGCTTGCCCGGCGAACGTGGTTCTTGAGCATGATCCTTTCCCAGCTGTGTTATGGTTCAAACAGTTTCTTTCCAGGACTTAGCGCACACCTGCTTGGTCAGCTTGAAAAGATGTTCAAGGCTGGCATCCGTGCAACCTTGCAACAGCGGCTCTTGACTCCAACTGCCCCGCTGCTCTCTCTGCTCAGCATTGTTAGTCTACCACATACATATACACACAAAATTGTCGTATTTGTTCATCGATGCATTAACTCTTCCTGTAGTCCCCTTCTTCAACAATTATTCACCCGAACGGCCCCAGAGACTGTTCCGGAGGATCAGCGCACCACACGGGGACAAGTGACGAACTTGCTTCAAGTTCCCTTTCTTCGTGGGCCTGCGGGACGATCGACCATGATGTTTCGGGGAAGCATTCTCTGGATCGCTCTCCCCTCTGATTTTAGAGTGATAGGTGTCCCTGGTCCCTTCCGAAAAGCTCTTTCTGCCATTGATATACTTACCTTGTGAATATCCTCGTTATACCTGTATTATCTGCCATAAACTCTAACCTTCTCGTCTATCAATCATTTGTGCATGCATGTCTATAAAATCAACTACGTATTCCTGACTCCATGAAATTGTCTTTCTATTCTTTGACTCCATGAAATTATTGTCTTCCTATTTCTGACTCCATGAAATTGTCTTCATATAATTTTTTCCTTTTCTTCTTTTGGTCCTTTCTGTCTTATATTATTATCATTTCTTGTTTTCCCTTGCATATCATCCCTTCATCATTCTGTGAGAACCTGTCCTATGGGCAGGTGATAAGGCATCTATGCCTGTTCATTTGGTGAAGTAAAATATACAACAACAACAACATTGACGTGTACATTGGTGTGCCGAGTAGTATCACCCTTGATTACTCATCCAACCAAGACTTTATCAGGATTGAGGTCCCAGACGCTGAGATCGCACGCCGAATGTGAAGTGCATCTAGCCTTGAACCTGTCGCACAAAGCACACACATATGGCAAAATGACATCCACTCTGATTATTTCCAGAGGCCAATCATGACAGAACACAGAAATGAAACCACGGCCTCAACCAAGTTAACGCAAAGGAAGTTGGTCAAAATAATCCATGCAGTGCTCTTTTAATTGCAGCGCTGACTGCAGTGTGGCGTCGTAGCCCGATACCCGCTGAGCACAGACACAAACTCCATTCGACAGGGGCGAGACATACTCTTTTGGAATAAAGTCATAAAGTACAGCATTCCAATGCCATGACGGACATCTCATGCAAATGCATGGTCTGTTCATTTGGCCGACTCGCCCACACATGAGAGTGTGTGCATGTATGTGCGCACACAAGTGTGCGCGTGCACACACACACACACACCATGTATTCGGTGCGTATGGCGTACCAGTTGCGAGGCAATGAAGACTGTGTGCATGTACCATAAAGTACCGCTGATCCGCCCCCAACGCCATGTCGATTCCCAGCTGGGTTTTCGGCAGCGGGCGGGAATCAGATCAAGGCTGTCAAGTGCAGCACGATATACAACAACTTGGAGGATCAGACTCGATGTGCTAGATTATGCACATTTTCATCCTGGACTGCCATATATTGTGTACAGCAGTGCATGCGTCGGTTCAAAATCGTATTTCGTTGTACACGCCAAAGTCGCTTCACAGGTAGAAAATCGACAGGGGGCGGGAATAAGAAAGGGGGCAGATCAACGGTACTTTATGGTACATGCGCACACAAGCGCGCGCGTGCACACACACACACACACACACACACCATGTATTCGGTGCGTACGGCGTACCAGTTGCGGGGCACTGAAGATGGAATCATTATCATGATGGTACATGTACATGACTGTACAGTGTATGTTTGAGTGTAAAGTAAATTGTATTTTATTACACATTTCTTCA